AGTCACACAGTCCAAGCAGCCTGTTTTCTCCACATGAGTCACTAGATCTCATTTAGACACTGAAAAACACTGCACATGCTTGCAAAACTGACATCACAAACCATCATGTTCACCCCAAAACTGATCGTTCCAAGTGCACACCTTCACAGCTCATACGCACAGAGGCACAACACGATGAAAGAGCTGGGACTATTTCAAATTTGAGACCTTACTGTGTGAACCATAGATTACGACATACATATCCAGAGCAGCAGGAAGACAAATCACAACTGAGACATGGCGTATTATAGTGAGCTCAGTGCTGTCAGAAAGTTTTAATGACATAACAGGTAGATGTACTGTAACAGAGAGTACTGAATGCGGTGGCTGTATTCATAAAGCATTGCTACTTTCAAAGTAGCTGTCACTCACTATGTTGCATTCTTTACAGAGTCTGGCAAGACAAAGATGTTTCACACAAAAGGTTGTGCATCTCACAGCAGAAGCAAGCACAATCCTAACAACTTTCATGTCTCACAATGGCTAATTAACACCTTGACAGAGCTGTGTGCTCCTCGTTCTGAGAACAAAGGCATTGCCACTGTCGCCTCTCCGTCCTGCCACATTTAGCAAACAGCACCTAGATATTGTCTATGGCTCAGAGGCAAAAGTTGGAACACTGGCAGGCAGGTGTGCACATTTCGTGCATTTGGCACTTGAATGTCTGTTGCCATGGTGACCCCTAGAATATCCCCATACACCACAATGTGATATTTTTAATAAAGTTTGATGGCTTTGACTTCACTGTCTGGTGCGGCTGTGAAGATGTGAAGTGAAGATGAGAACTTTTTTTTTGTCTGTCGCTCAGGCTTAGCTGTGTGAGAAAATCCAGCAGCTTATGTCAGTAGGCTTACTGCGTATTGCTCAACCAAAAGTGTAACGTGAAAGTCAAAGGGAATACTAACTGTAGTGACCATGAATAGTGTGTGTGTAGATATGAATACATCTGCCTGTGACTCTGTCTTATGTGTGTGTGCATGCATATGTGCATGCGCAAATGTGTATATTTACCACAGTATGACTCACAAGCCACATCAGAGACTCTGCTGCAGAAAATTGAGACAACACAGTTTCAAAGAGGAAGCCAGCACTGATAGAGCTGAAAGAGCAACAGGCACAACACACATGCACACACACGCATGCATACACACTCATGTGAGCACACACAATAACACTGTGTAACAACCACTGGAAATCCCCTTTTGTTTACCTGAATGAACTAAACCTGGAAGTATCTGAAAGATGACATACAAATTTGATACAAATGTGATTTTGATTGTGTTTTCAAAAAAAAATAATTTGCTGACTGTGGCTTCTCTTATACACGTGAAACAGTTTCATTTCCCAAAGAGATATCTAATCAAAAGCACACACTTGGTCTGTTGTTGTTCAAGAGAACAGCACATGTGAAATATATATGATTTTCCTGAGATTGGTGCCAAGTATTAATGGTTCCGTCAATTAAGTGATGAAATTCATTGAAGGAATCATTGTGCTTGTATAGTCAACTGTACACAGGAGGCGCTCACTAAGTGTAATACACAATCTTTACCAGCAGATGCCAATATTGCCTTGACAATGAGGTTAAAATACGGAACATGGACCTTATGTACACTATGGTGGATTAGGTGTTGGCACATGCAGTGATGGGGAAAATCTTCTCTCACATCTTCTAGAGATGTTAATAGAATGAAAAACAGAATCAGAATCAGATTTTTTGCCAGGTAGATTTACACATACAAGTAATTTGCTCCGGTGATTTGGTACATAACAATAAACATTTATTATAAATATAAAAATGTTAAATTGACATGGTATATAAAAATATAAGAATAAAATATATGCAGCAATACGGGTAATATGGCAGTTAATGCTGTGAATGCAATAGTCAAATGAGTTACTGTCAAGACTGAAGGATAAAGCTGACTTGTGGCGCTCCCTGTTCTGAAATATGTTTGATATCAGATCAGATAAAATCTAAATAGACTGCCTGTGAAACTGTGTGGTGAAAGAATATATTAATCATCTCAGAGTCCATAGATGACCGCAGCATCAGAATGGAGAAAAAAAAGGCTGTGAATCATATCCTATGATAATTCTCTATCTCCTCATGTAGTCTGCAATGAGTTTTCCATGACATTAGTGGTTAGACTGGAGCAGCCTCCTCCAGCTTAAGTATGATGTAATTGGCTGTTAGAAGCCTCTTATTAGGGAAGGGGGAGTCAGGACCATCTAGAGTCCATGATGCTAAGTGCCTATTAATGCCCCATGTGTGACAGTTACGGTGTGCATTTGTGCGCTGGGTGTGTGTATTTGTGGGAATATGTGTGCTTTTAATGGCGTGTTCATGTGTGCTTAGTTACATATTACTACATGCTTATGGGTGCTTTTGTTCACTCTTTCATTCACTCTTGCATTTAAAACCTCTTACAAAGCCCGCAAAAAGAATCTGTTTGATTTGCAAACAGAAAAGAATGTATGTAATCCTCTTTATTGTTATTTTTATATCTTTATTGTATGCAACCCTAAATCTCTGCACTCAATATTACAAAGGCTCATGGGTAGAAATATCATGGGCAGAGGGATCTTCTGCTGCTATTAATACATAAATAATTCTTCTTCTTTCTAATAAGCTATTAAACCTCTAGTGATTAATAAAGGACAATGACTTTTTCACCTTTTAATTAGCTATCAAGTCTGCAAATGTAAATGTTTTGTCCTAATGAATTAAAGTGCTAGCAAAAAACAAAACAAAACAAAGCAATGCTGGAGGAAATTGATTTTCTGCAACCTGGGATCTCAAAAGGTATTAATTGCTTATTATTAATCCTTTCATAAATAATAAGTCATTCGTAAATAGTAAACTGAATGATGTTATTCATCATTCAGTTTACTCTGCAAGCACTCTGTAGCCTGTGAAAAGAGTTATATAATGTCTTCAGTGGCTTAGAAAAGAATCCCTTATGATCTCATCATTGTTATCTCATTTGGGGCTTGCAGAATACAAATATCTGACGGTAAGCCTGCGATACAGACTTCTACTCGACTACTACAGATGTGGAGCTTTAAAATAGCAGACATTTTCCTGACAGGGATGGTGTAATATAAAGACACTGTAAGATGAACTATGGGAAGTCAAGTCAAGTAATTTTAATTTATATAGCCCAATAGCACATATTACAAATTTAGAATCTGTACAGCATGTGACACCCTCTGTCCTTAGAAGTGTTGACTCTAGCTAGCTGTGTGGCTCTGTGGTTGGCAGTGTCAGTCAGTCTCTCCACCACTTTGGTCAAGACTGAAATCTTTCTTTGAGAAGACGAGATGTGGTGAGAGAGACAAGGGTCTTGGCAAGAGCGATCCTGGACTCACACAGGGACGGCTGCACCCCGGCTGCCAGAGCTGATTGCTGCCATAGCCAATATTCGTGCTCTTACCAGACATGCCACGTTGTGTCCCAAAAGTGTCTCTACGCGCCATGGAGAATATGTCAAGCAGACCAGAGCACACCTGTCCCACCTGTCAGGGATAGCTAGAACAAAAAATCAGGAATTTAAAAGGGTTATCCTGGCAAAATCTTTTTTACACCTGTTCAGTCATAAACACTGGAGAGAAAACAATTTAGATCAGAATTTTGTTTTTGTCACTGGCCTCTAAGTCCTAATAAAGTTAGCCTCTGTCTTTTAGTTTGGTGCCATTGATCAGGACAAACCTTGTGCAGTACTCCAGTACTTGCATACTAACAGACAAAACTAAGATGGTAAATATGGTTAACATTATACCTGCATTTGCATTTTGCATTGCCACTGTCAGCATGTTAGCTCACAGAGCATGGCTTGGTGTTAAGGCTATATTCACACTAAATCAGGGGCTGTGTGGTGGTGTGTATGTGGGCATGTTTATGTGTGCTTTAGAATACAACAATGAAACAATCAGAAAATAACTCTTTATTTCTCTAAACAAACTTTCTAGCTTTGTCTCTCTGTTGACTGTTGCAGTTTGACTAGTCTGACGTCAGTTTACATCTCTCAGTTGATTTTGTTTCAGTTTTTCGCTGCAGTGTTTTTTTCTGCATCCCCTGCAGTCCTCACCACTGCTGCTCAAACGCACTACCCCGATTCAAATTAATGGGAGGACAGGACATTTTGCGGCAAAGCCTGATTTGGTGTGAGTACAGACAACTTTATGGAAGGGCAATATTAAATTCCTAGAATACTCATTTAATAAGGACAAAAGCTAAACTGTATAAATCCTTTATATAGTATACCTTATTAGAAAACTGTACTGAAAAATAATATAATGAATATAATGGCTGTGGTTCAGGAGCTAGAGCAGGTTGCCTGTTAATCGGAAGGTCGGCGGTTCAATCCCTGGCTCCTCCAGGCTGCATGTTGAATGTCCTTAGGCAAGATACTGAACCCCGATTTGCCCCTGGTTGCTGTTCCACCAGGATGAATGTTGAATGTTAGTTTCTGTTTGAGCACTTAGGCTCAGTGTGTGAATGGTAAAAGCGCTTTGAGTGTTCAAAAAGACTAGAAAGGCGCTATACAAATACGGAGCATTTATAAACAAACACGGACAAACAATCAACATGACATGATGTAACACAACATTACATAGCATCACATAGGTTTTATTACATAAAACAAATACATACTCTGCATGTACATTTCTGTTTTTTTCACTGTTAGAGAATGTGTATTAATTTGCAGTACCTTTTGTCTTATCACAGCTCACTTTCATCCTACAACAAAGTGAATAAATAAATACAAAAATTTAAAGCAAAGCAGTGATGGTTGAGGTGGTAGGGGTTTGATCCTGGTATATTTCTCAATATTATGTAGAAGGTCTATACTCCTTCTGATCCTCTTGACCCCCTCATTGTCACCAGTTGGTACAGGCCACAGTGCAACAGCCCACTATCACTCTCCCCCTGTCTCTAAGCTGCACAGTTCCCTACAACCCTGCTGAGCGAGCAAGAGAGCGTGTGTCTCTGTTTGTGATACACAGAGAGGCAGCCGAGATGAGAGTGTGAAGCAGTGAGAGGAAAAACCTAGAAAGAAGAGTAAAGGCGTTCAAAGAAGGGGGAGGGAGACACCGAACACAGCAAAAGGCAGAGCAGATTGGCAGAAAGAGAAGAGAAGAGGGCAGGGGAGGGAGAAAAAGTGTTATGTGGATGTACTATCTTTAAAGTCCTAGAGCCAATGTGAAGAGATGCAAGAGATTTGTAGTGACTAGATGACCAGCCACTACACACACCACCAGCATCCTGTCCAGGAGCCTTGACAGGAGGACGACAAAAATCCACACACACACTCAAAGGAAAAACACTCTCTTCAACCAGTCCCATATCCACTGGATCATGTCGTCGACTGGGTCAACCAACCACAACAAGCGTCTGACATGTAAGTAACCAACAGTAGATGAGCTTACTAGAAATGCAGCTTAAGCGAAAGTATGCCGACTTCCAGTACTGTACAATATACTGTAACTTTATGTCCTGTATAGAGATTTACTCTGCATTGTTTTTGTAATTTAACTCTTGATGTGCTCTTTCATTCTGGGCAGGTATGTACAACATTTATTCCCGCATGACAAATTTGCATATCCCAAGGGAAGGGTTTTGTTATAAAATTGTGCAGAGGGTTTAATTCCCTACTACTGGTTCAGCTCTACATGTTTAATTCAGCATTGGTTAGCTCTTTGATGAGATAAATGATAGATTTTAGCTGTATTTTATGTTACATAAAGTGTGTATTGTAGGTACTGCATGGTTGTTACATAAATTTCTCTGGGGTATGTTAATGACAACTGCTCCCCCAAGGATTCATTAAATTACTGCTCACTAAAAAACACTAAATTACAAATGTTCAATTTATCCTTTTACTTCTTGGTCCAGCCTTGAACCAAGCCTAATTAGCAGCTGCTGTAAAAATCTAATTGTCCAAAGTAATGACAGCCATAGTCCACCTCCTTTTAACTAAATTAGGCAGCCTTGATGGCGGTGCGATATACTGTTGATGCAGATGAGGTTTAATCACAGTGAAGGTATAACAACTACTTCCTAGAGTCTGACTCAGCTAAAGGAAGACGGTCTATATAGAGCAAGGGCAGACATGTTAACTGCTACCTGCTTGACAGAAGAACATTTTCTTGCTTTTTAATTGAACAATTTACCTCACAAGAGCTTTGTTTTGTGTTTAATTATCAAGAGAACAGTCTACTATTTTCCCATGCTACTTGCTGTGGAGAATATGTTTCTATGTGGGAATGCATATAGGTGTTTTTTAAAGTGTACAGACTAAAGAGGCAGAGCTTTATATATGATCTCTGCGGCGACTACTGAAAGCCCTGTTTTGATTGACCTAAATAGGGAGCAGTGGCCATGGCTGGAGGTCATCTTTGCATTTAGCCCTGAGTGAAGTGCCTTAATGGCTTTGGGAAAAGGAATGGCCTGGGAATACTGATCAGACATTTATGGAGCAAGTCATCGAACAAGGTTCAAGACATAACCACAACAGTGGGGTCATAGGAACCTAAAGATGAGAGTGACCTAATGAAACTAATGGATGTCGACTTAATTTAAATGTTGTGTCAATGTAAAGTATTTGTTGCTCTAGGCTTCAGGTAGAGCTTCCTGTGGTATGGCGATGATGATGGTGGGTATTGTGGGAAGACGGGGGGGATATAAATGACCAGTCAAGATTTACTGTCTATTACTAGGCTGTGTGTTTATGGATATCTGTATGTGGGTGGAGAGGGTAGTGGGGAAGCATGGCGGGGGAGGTGACTGCTGTGGTGCAGTGATCTCACTCATAAATGATTTATGCTTTATGGACTGCTGTGGCTATAAAGCCATCAGCGGAGAGCGATTGGCTCAGTAAATAACAGCAGTAGTACCAAAAAATGATCTGACTGTATACCGCTGAGAGCTGGGTGACACCATCATCGGTTCCCGGGGGGAATTAGGAGCTGCAGGAGAGGAGGGGGGGAGTTTAAGATAGATGTGCTGTCAAAAGTGACTGGCCATGCAGTGCAACTGCCTTACTAGCTCTCTCTCTATTGCACACAGACACGTGGTCTCTCTTCACTGAAGACAGAAAGACAATCATGGGATTTCATTCCACTTGCCACAAGGGAATTGAATGCTTCACCATGTGACTGTTTGGTTCAATAGGAACATTTGTTCCCTGCTTCCAGTACAGTTCTCAGGACTCTTGATGTATGACTGTAACATTACTGTGTAGCAATGACACAGAGAGGCTAACGATGCATGTATTCAGAGTTGAATGTTTTCATCATAGAAAAGAAGCTAATAAGGTAGCCAGAAAGAAGACAACAGAGAGGAACAAATGCACATTGCATGCTGTGGCAAAATAAAACAACCCGATAGATATATGTGTAATTTGTCATATATGAATGGCAATTCAAGATTAGCAGTGTGGATTATCAGGAGCAGAGCAGAGGAAATGACAAAAGGATTAGACAATGGAAATAATCAGAAGGATGAAGAAAACATGTGCTTCAGCTGAACTGTCACCTGTGGCCCTGGACCACCCACCTGCACTCCCTCTGACCCCCCCCCCCACACACACACACACACAAATACACACACAAATACACACACAAACACACACACACACACACACACACACACACTCAGACATATTTCATCAACATCTAGTGTTAAATTTCTAGACATAAAGGATTGCTGACATATCTGATAAACAGCGATGCATGAGTGAAAATGCCTGGAGCAGAAAGAATCAGGGTGGCTGAGAAAATGTGGACTACAAAGAGGATAAAGAAACAGGGGGAAAAGAAAGGTTTTCTTGCAGTATTAAAGCCATAGAATTTTTTTCTATTCAGTGTGTGTTTGCCTTGACACAGCAAAGGCACAAAAAATGCATGGTGTCACTGCACCCTTGTATTTGTCAGTATGAGGCTTAGCTGAGGCAAGCAGAGCTGGTAAAGCCCTTTGCCTCAAATCACTGACACTACAGTTACTTTATACCAGGAATAATGCACAGCAGGCTCATATTGCATAACACCACATACTGCTTTATTTGACAAACTTCTTACTTTCTATCTTCCTTCCTTTCTTTCTTTTGTAAAAACTCAGCCAACACAGACATCCTACATGCTTATACACACAACCAAGGCAGTAAAAGCTACATAGACATGCACTACAAGGCAGTAGGAGTATAGTAGTAGTACAGTGTTATAGGGTGTGCAGTTGAAGGATTGTACCAGCATTATGTAACAGTAAGCACTAGGTAAGTATGGTTCAGTGTGTCTGAATGGAGCAGGAATTTCTGGGTTAGCATAGGTCCTGTCAATCATCTGTCATCATGTGTTATGGAATTCCAAAGGGCAGCTACTCAAGTACTGTAAAGCTTAACAATTGTCCTTATGTCTTAGACAAGCGTGAAGACTTCTCTTGTCACGTTTTTTTCAAATAGTGACGTGAGATGAACAAAGGCGCAGGAGCATCTATGGTGGAAGAGACATAGAATTCAGAATGAATTATGTTATATTGCATCTAAGAAATTAACATGTCAAAACAGGTCAATATGGCAGTCCTTTTTCAGCCTCTGGCACACTGTTAATTTTTGACCTCTCCATACCATTCTCCGGCATAATGGATTGCTGTTTCTATTGCCGAAAAAAGTTGAACAAAGGTCAACTGTGATACGTGATTCTTCTGGGAGCTTTAACTGAAGTGAATGGGAGACAGAGTAAATATGCTCGGAGGCTAGTGACGATCTTAGTGCACAATAAGGGTGGGAATTTGTTCTGACAATCACATTTCTCGAGGAGGCGTAGATTAGGGGCAGAAGCCTTCAGTTCTCAGACTGCACCTTCATAAGCTCCATCTTTGAAAGGAGTGGTGGTCCCTGAACTGAGACTCAAGTTATAATTCCTGGATCCTGTTATGCAGAGGTAAGGGTAACAACACTGCTACTGTGTCCCAGGGTAATCATCAGCAGAATGACTTTTAGATGTAAGAAACTGCCAGAACCAGTTTTTGCACACCGCAGTCATACTGAATTATTAATTCTGGCTATCTTTTGAAATAGCATTGTTTTTACTGTCCATCAGTGTTTGTAACAAAGCCACGGTGTGTTTTAGTGTACTGTAAGCAGTCATAGACATGCAATGCGTCTGGTAAATCAGTGTAGGGAGTGATTTGAAGCCTGGTACTTCTCCTCTCCTCTCCTATTTTCTTATTTTCTTCTTTATTTTTAATAAACTATGCCTCTTAATATCCTGAGGCTAACACTTCCCTAACAAAGCAACAGTCAGCCATCACAGCTGATCGCTGTTCCTTGACCCAACAGCAAATCCTTTCCATGTGACCTCTATTTTGCAGCCTAGATAAGGGTAAAGCAGCAGCCTGAACTGAATGGGTTGCCTCGTTTAACACAGGACTATTAAATCAGTGCTAGGTCAGTGTTCATACTTGCTGTTCTTATTCATTACATAACAATAGCTTATTTTCTTGCAATGAGTTTTCTTTGGACTGGCTCTGAGACACCTAACCCTGTATATAAGTAAAGACCAAAAATTAGAATAAGAATCAGGCTTCAAGTATGTGTACACATACAAGGAATCTGAATCTGGGTTGAAGTTGCTCCTAATGTACTTGCACACAGAACAAAGCAGAACAAAGACAGGTAAAAGTAAACATAAAATGATTATGCACATCCATCCATCCATCCATTATACCGCTTATCCATGCAGGGTCCCGGAAAGACACACACGCTGAGACAAAAAACCACATACTCACGTTCACACCTAAGGGTAATTTAGAGTCACCAATTAATGTACCTGCATGTCTTTGGACGATGAGAGGAAGTTGAAGCTCCCAGAGAGAACACACTTTTGTACATACATGTAGGTGAAAAATAGGTGTATATAAAAATATATATTAAAAAGCAACAATGACCAAGACAAGTGTTCAGTAGATTGTAAACAATAGAAATAGTGCAAAGAGGGAAATATTGAATGAGTGGGTAGCATTGGATTTAAGATTTGAAAGTGGAAAAAGTACTTTACTTGAACAGCCATATAAGAACCGCTGGCAGTTAATAACCCTTGTCAAAAGCAAGGGATTCCCCCGCAGAGGCTATGAACACCATCTGGGTCTCACACAGAGCATGGTAGTAATGTAACCTTAGCCAATTTGCATGGAGACCTCCTACACGTCTTCCACAGCAGGGTGGTGGAAAACTTTATCTTGATGAGTCAATCTTTTACATACATGTTTTTCTCCCACACAGGGGCAGACGGATAGAGATATGCAGCTGAGCACTTGCGTGGGTTGGGCACGTCCACTGGCCATGTCAACTTTAGTAGTGAATATATATATATAGAGAGAGAGAGAGAGAAAGGGAGACATACTCAGAGAGGGAGAGAGAAAGAGACCCCCATAAGGCCAGCAGGCAAAATTGAAGCTTACGTAAGCTGTGTAGTTTCATCATCATCATCAGAGGCCTCATCATTGCTGTAACAGCCAGAACTGGTTCATTTGTCTCAAGCTTCCCCCTACTGCAGAATAATGAATTCTGAATGATCATGGACACTGGCAGGTGGCAACAGGGTGGCAGGATGTTTTGGCAGTTTGGCATGTTGAGGTCATTGGTCTCTCTAAAGAGGATGTCCCTTAATCGCGCTGTTCTTTTTGCCATGTGCTGTCATGCTGGGGTGTGGGCTTATGGTGTGGTAATAAATTACTGTGTTTTTTTTTTCTAGAGCTGCAACGATCAAAAACATCAAATTAAGTGGCAAGAATAATCTATTACTTGTTTGTCATTTTTAAAGCAAACAATTCTAGCTTCTCCAATATTAGTGTTTTTCCTTAAAATAATTTAAGGCATTCAGTGACATCACCTTGGGAAATGATGAAGTTGCAATTAAGTTCTTTTTTAGGATTTTAAATGTTTCAGAAATAACAAATGATACAGAAACATCACCAGTGTAGCTCAGGGTTTGGTTATCTGATACCAGAAATACGAGTTCCCACAGCAATAACATGTCAGGAGGACATTCACACTATTTACATGTCACTGTAAGCTTTATATCATTGACTGTGTTGCCAGTTTCTTCTTTTAAATATCAACTTGAGCAACTGTGAACCACAGAGTGGATTCTTGCCTCCACAGACAGCTTGAATGACAGAATAAAAGGCTGTCGTTAGTGCATGACAGTGACACACACCCCTCCAAGGCTGTGGAAGCGTGACTGGCAGACTGATTTGTTGGGTCTCCAGAGATGGAGATGTCTGAAGAGGGAGGCTGGATAACACAGATGTGTTTGTTTTCAAACAAGAGAAAAAAGTCACACTCAAAAGGTCTGTAGATGAAGTAAAGTGAATGTTGTTACTGTGTGTTACTGGATCCATCTGCTGGCATCATGCAAAAATGTTAGTCACGAAAGCTTTTTACAATATTATACAATTATAATACACACAGGGTGACAAAATGAGCATAAAGCAAGTAGCATGCATACAGATCCATGCACACAAAAGCATGAACACATAAGCACACAGTTTATGTGAAAATGCTTACACTTACATTCATACACACACACACACACACACACACAAACATTAAAACACTGGTGACATGAGTCAAAGTGTCAGCTCATGGAGTCCAGTGGGAGAAGGCACAATGTGTGCTGAGTAGGATGTAGCACGGTTACACAACCACAGCTGGTCAGCCTGGCAAAGGTCGATGCTGGAGGTAGACTTAAGGACAGATGCTCTCTTATTTTACATAACATGTCTTTATTGCCACGCACTGAAATAAAAAAAATCTCAGTAGCATCACATGTTGCTATCTAGGGGCTTTTTAGAGATTTGCAAGGTTTGCAACTGTTGACTTCTCATTTTTGGACACCTTCTGCCCATGCACGAGTCTCCAATAAAAGAGTAACTGCAGCTGAAAGATGGTACTTGAGTAAGGGACATGTTGACAAATGCTTACCCTAACCTTTACGCTTAAAACCAATGCCAACACCCTGAAAGCAAATCAGAACACCTGTGAATCAAGGATACTGTATGTACCATAAGTTAGATACATCTGCAAACATGCAAATGCTGTGCACAGATATTTGCAAGGGCCCAACATACTTTACTTACAGTAATGTTAAAATGTGGAATTGGTTTGGGAGCACTGTTGCAATCAAAACCAAAGATTAACCAAAGTCTAAAATGTTGTAAACAAATCCTTTGCTTAGTCAGACAGCTAATGTGATGCAATTAGTAGAACTCTTCCTTTGTTGTCAAATTTATTTTTAAACTGCATTTCTGTATTTTGATCATCACTACTAGAGATCAGAATATAATGAGAGCTTTTTCTTTGCCTAAAAGTAAAGTGGGAATAGAAATGAAGACAAACGAGAAGGGTAAAGAAAATATTGCAATGAATAGTATGCATTGACTGTAAATGACAGCAGGTTACTAACACAAGTTTGATAATTAGTTAATTTCCTGTAGGGGAGACTCTATATTAGAGCATTTTTGCTAGTGATGGGCTAGGCCTATGCAATGATATATGTAGATGACACAGCAAGGATTGTGATTAATGTTAGCTAAGTTAGATCATTTATATAATGTAAAATACATAATTTATATTGTTCATAGTAGATTATTATTGTGCTTTCTTGCCTGATTCACTCGCAGCTGTACCCATACCGGCTTGCTCTTTCTGAACAGCCCTAACATTAACATATGTGCTGAAAGGAAGTGGGCAGTGCTTTATTGTCCTATGTGTCTATGGACAACGACAATTTCACAACCAGTCAGTGGTAAAAGACTAAATACATTTAAAAAACACGTCAGGAAATGCAAAGGTGCTGCTGCTACTTCTACCACCACCAGTAGAGACACCATGGAGAACCGTTGACTGTTATGCCATTAATTTTCTATTTATCTTGCATTAGGAAAGTGAAGTGTATATTCTGGCACCTGAGCGCGTAGTGAGGCACACATCACCAGATAGCTAAACACTCTTGATTAACTTGACTGAAAGTAGCACTAGATGGCTTCAATGACACTCCTGACTCATGACTGATTGAAGCCATCTAGTGCTACTTTCAGTTGGTTATCATTGTGCACTTGTATGTCCGTTTATTGAAGACAGCACTCAAAGTGGTCAAGTTTTTGTTGAAGTGTTGAAGATGTTGAAGCTTCTCCCAGGTTAACACAGGCAGATGGAACAAGATGAAGTGAGGACTTGAAGCACGCTGTTCTCTAGCTTGTTTACAGGGAAATGCTGAACTGACCATGTGACTACAATCATTGTGACTATTAACATTAACAGCCTATTAACAGACTATTAACAGCCAATGAGAGCGCACACATCTAAAATGACGCAAACAGGTGACATTTACTTAATGGCCTACAGGAGGTGCTACAAACACTTGAACAGAATGAATGCATGTAACATTACAGTGTGAATGAGTTAGTGTACAAATCACAAGATTGAGAGTTTGTGAATTGGTCATTTCGAATCGCTTTGTTCCATGTGTCTAGCCTAGCTCCAGCAAATTGATGGGTCCAATTTTTTATTGTATCAATGATCTATAAACATTTGAATCACAGATGCATGGTCCGGACAGCCACTAGGCTTGTATGTGGGCCTAACTATAATTTATTTATTGTACTCAAGGGCTCTGCTGAGGTGATAACTTTACTTGAGGAGAGCTAGTGTTTCTAGCTTTGAAAATGTATTTTAATGGCTTATTTTTGTGAGGTATTGTACTAAAAGGTCACCAAAGACCCAGAGACCCAAGAAATGTGCTGACAAGGGACACATTTCCGGGCTTTTCTTTGCTCTACTCTGCTGCTGCCTCAGGGAATCTCCACTTCTTCGCACTGGCATTCAGAGAATGCATAGACTTGTTACCTAACCTGTTGCCAGCTTTAAAACAGTTGTATCCATTAAGTTAAGGTTGCCAAACAGTACCAAGCAACCACAAACATCTCTATCTCAATTATCTCTTCTTAAGCATTTTTACATTGTATGACTTTATTGATAGGAAGCAGTAGGCACAACAAGAAATGAGGGGAGAGAGGGATGAGGAATGACCCGCAACAAGCACCTCCGGCCCAACACAAACTGCATACTACATAAATTAGATTTTTTTCAAAAATATTTAAGATACAGTGCTGCATTAAAAGACAGTTGAAGTGAATGATAATTATGTATTTTTTTTGGTATGTGCCTTGTTTTGGTGGACAGCGGAGACAGAAAACTCTCAGAGGGTGTTGGACAATGATTCCGCCCAGCACCTGAAGCTGAGGGAGAGACAGCGCTTTTTTGAAGAGGTCTACCAGCATGATGTGGACAACTACCTGCCCTCAGCTCACCTGCAGATCGACTGCAGAAAACGTGAGTGAAAGTCTCTTCTTATGTGCCATTCCCGGTGGCAACAACTTTTGTTTGGGATTTTTTTTATTATCTGATTCAACACTCTTTACAGGTTAAAATACATTTATAGCCAGTGTTGAATTGTCACTATTTATTAACATAATTAAACCAGACTTGAACATTTACCAAACTATGATTCAGTTTCACTCAAAAGCTGACTCAACTTTTATATCTGTCTGCAAATCATATATCAATATAGGCCCTGTGATGTACAGTACAGTGTCAACATTCAAATGAAATGTATCGCATTTGAAATGAACAGAGTGTATCTATATCATATCTGCTGTTCTGCCTGTATATGCAGCCCCCATGGGAAGTATATCTTCTATGGAGGTGAATGTGGACGTCCTAGAGCAGATGGACGTGATGGACATCTCTGACCAGGAGGCCCTCGACGTTTTCCTAAACTCAGGCTCAGGAACAGAAGAGGAAGCGCTGGCATCTCCACTACCAGGTGCACTGATGGCCTCTGAGCTACAATTGACCCACTGCAACTGTACTTTTTCAAGCCATTCTTGTAATACCTTTCACTGGCAGATTTACAAAAGCAGGCCACTTAAAGGTTGGGTAAGCGATTTTAATACAGGTCTTTTGTCAAATTCAGTGAATATCTCCTCATAGTCCTCTAGCTGTCTGTTTTCTGTGTGCGCTAGCATTAAATTCAGCTTACTTTCTGGTTCACCAAGACATGCTGTTGCAGTGATGTTAGCTATAGTGTCCGGAAAGTATAAGATTATTATTTCAGATTCAGGACTTTTAAAGTTTGCACCATTTCAGAAATCCCCAGACTGCTGAACATTACAGGTTTCCCCACTGACAATTTGTGGTTTGTCAAAACTGCAGATGAACACCTCAGAGTCAGCTACAAAACAGCTCTGCAACCTTTTATTAGGGAAATAAATTTTCCAACACATTTGCGTAAATAGCAGTCTTTAAATTGAATCTGCAGCTTTAATTGCATTTCCATGTAGATGTTCCTACAGGGAAATATTGTTTTTATAGTGAACAGTGGTGCACCATGCTGAAACAGCTAGAACAGGTGAACTGCAGACACATTCTAAACAGCTTCTGCTTACAGAGGGGGAGGATGAAGAAGAAGAAGAGGAGGATGAAGATGCAGAGGTTGTCTACAGGGAGCATGCACCTTTGAAACGGCAAAATGAAGTTGACTCAAAGTCTCGCATGTCCTCCACATCATCTGGTTCCAGTGATACCAGCGGGGGTGGAGTCGACACACCTGTGATCCAGTCAGATGATGAAGAAGTCCATGCCGACACTCTGCTGCTGACCTCTGTTCCCCATACCAGGGATGAAGAAACAGAGGAGGAAGAAGAGGAGGAAAGATGCCTTGCAACTAAATCTTCATAAAGACTGAATTTTCTCTCAGTAGAGAGGGTAAAAGGAGTCGGAGAGCTCTCCATCTCCCGCCTCTCTACTTTGCATTGCTTTCTTTTGTGGAAAAACCTTAGCATGGTTGATCTGGCTGTGACTTCCTGTGTCTTTTGAATGTTTTCCCGAATACACTGAATAAACCTCTTCTCTATTTTTCCTAGTAACTTTGTTGAAATTCATGGCAATGGCGACATTCCAAGTTTCCTTTCACATATGCAAATGATATGACTCATCCTGCTCCCATGCACTAACTTGTTCTGGCTGAGATTAAACTATTGTCAGTTCAAGTGCCAAAGGGAAACGTTCGATGCCCATTTTGTGTCTTGAAAGCGCAGGTGCCGAACCGCATGTAAAACAAGAAGGCTATAAAGCATCTTTGATTTACAGACTTTCTGGGTAGAACACAAGTACAACAACAGAAATAGAGTAAAGTCATATTCAGTGAACACATGGACAAAAATACAGAAAAGGGAAATCCAAGGCAATCTGTAAAAAGTAATCAAAGCTTTTTAACTTTTACCGGACCTGAACTAACTAACTTGGATTTTCCTCTTCATTGAAGATTACATTAAAAGTGTAGTGAGCTATTAAGCCTTTTGTTCCCTGAGCATGCTTTTACTTCTTTGTCTACATTGTGAAAATAGCTTTGCAGTGACAATTAAATTCTTTAAGACTTCAGACTGATAGCTGTTGAGTGAATGGCTTAATGGGTCATGTGACTGGACAAAGGAGTTCAAAGGATTAAATATGTTGTTTAAGTGCGGGGCTCATGCATCTTCTTTTGTGTTTTCAGAAAATCCAGTGAGCAAAACCAAAAGTTTTATCTTTTTGACAACATGATCATGAATTTTTTGCCGTTTGAATGTGCAAACTATTTACAGTATCATCAATGGAACTGTGTTTGTAAATGCATGCCATTTTGTTTGTTAATGATTGCTTTATGTTTTCAGTTATGTAAAACTACAACAATACTGAACTATGCAGGTAACACCTGTACTCTCTCCTCCATGTGAGATGTCATTTGAGAGTTGGATATGTATGACCATGTAGAGAGTGAGTGATTCAGTTGACAAATATGTCTTTGTTTATGTTCTTTGTATAATATGTGTCTGTTTGCGGGAGTGTGACTATGTGGGTGTGTGTCTCTGAGGGTGTGGCTGGTAAACATTACAGGTATACCCCTACTTTCAAAACAACATTTTTACAATGTTAATCATTATGTGTGTATCTCTTGCCCATTTGAAAATCTTACTATGAACGAAATAAAATGAAACAGAAGTTAAAACTGTTTATTTTACAATTTACAATTTACTGTATGTTTGCCTGTGTTGTCTGTCTTTCACTCACTTGCTATTGGTTTCTCTTTGGGTTTTTCTCATACTGCATTGTCCTGAGCATGTCTCAACACCACCTTCCTCTCTGCTGCTGTTTCTAGACCTCTTTCTAACTGAGTAGCAAATAATTAAATGTAACAAACAGTTGGCAAAATAATTTACAATGCTTTGAAGGTCTGCTGACTGTATAGATAAAGTTTTTTTGAAGTCACTCTTAAAGCGATACTCACGTGTCCATATGTACATGTGTGCTTGCAGTAATCAATACTTCTGTTTATTCTAGATGTTATGAAGGAGCTTCACACCAGACAACTTTTGAAGATCCAATATACCCTACCTGAAATGCCAATAACTTGAGAAAAACAGGAAACGTCTGAAAGAAAAAAAAATGCTAACAGGCTAGCACTGGCCCAGCCTGTTTTGTAATACCACTTAGAAGGCCCACACATGTTTCAACAACATCATCACTTACATTGAAATCGCTTTGGGGGGTGGGGGGGGGTCTTCAGGGCCAGTATGAACATGAAGGATGATTACAGCAAGCAAAGCCTGATTCAGTGCACCATTAATCTGGGAGCACACCTATTGTTTTAAGACTTAAATAAAGCCAAACATTGAGTTCACTTGTATGATAGAGTGCAAAAATAATTTCCACACATGGAACATTTTAATGTAATGTCACAAGGATATGCAGTACGGATGAATATGGGCAGTTATCCCTCTCCTCTCTGTGTTCCAGTTCTTCTGGTTTTACAAGTGTACGTGTTGTTTACTCTCAGCATTTGCTTAGATGCTAAAGTTCGTGGAATAGTTTGCCTGCTGACAAACAAGACGCTGCTTTTTATCCTCTCCATGACACATTATGTTTCTCTTGAGCTTCCACTTGGCAAAGAGCTTGCACATAGTCTCTTAATCACAGACTAGTGAGTTGCTTTGACCCACAGACACAGAGATTTTAACTCAACAATTATCAACACAGTGGGGAGCATACTGAGATCTCTGTACTCTGGGCAGGCCACAACTTGCATGTTCTACAACCTGACCACTGACTTGACTTGACTTCATCCACAGGCCTACAGGTCTGGGATGCACCATGTCTCATTCCTTCTACTGCAATAACAACGTCCGACAGGAATTATGTGGTAAAACCCATCACCATGAACTCTAATTAGCGCTTAATGTGGCATGGCCTACAGGTTCCAGGTATACTGAAAAACACAATTGGCTGTGGTGTGCTGACTGAACGTTAATCTCTGAAATAAGTTCATAAAGCCCTCCTAAACCTTCAGAGAAATCCTTGTTTCCCTCAAGTTAATCTGTCGCTAACTTTCCTTTTACCAATGACCTTTAGTGTTCTGCCTCCTCTAACCAAGACCAACCACTCATATGCTTCCACAACTGGAGCAAATCCGTCTGGCCCAACACCTCTAAGCCTGATTAGTTTAATTACAGTGCCTCGGGAACTACAAGATTGCATACCTGGGACTACTCAAAAGTCTTTCTAGAAGCATATTCAACCTTTTGCTCCAATACTGTCAATATAAATCCCAGGTTACTTAAAGCTTTCATTATCTCAATAACCCATGTCTTCAGATTCCAATCTTACTCAGTTATCAAAGCAACTGAAAATCAGTGTAAAGCTGATGATACACAGAGCAACTTTTAGAGCAATCGTGAAGGGCAACGTTGCCGTCAGTGGTAATTGTAAAGCTTCAGTTCCTGTAATGTCAATTCTGCATGAAGCACCGATATATATAAGTCTGAAGTCAAATAGGTCATCGTCATCATGAGAATAGACAAACTTGTACTGTATCAGGTAGCAGAATCAGCATTGGATCTTCAAAAGAAGGTGCAAAATGACAGAAACAAAGTGTGAACTAGCTCACTTTTTACATCACAAATGTCACATAGGAGAAACGAATCTTATAACACATTCTGGCTTTACTGAATCAAACAATTACTTCAGTAGAACGTAATAAACTTTAGTCTGCTGGCTAAACATGTCCAACTGTAAGTGGCATTGCGTGACAAAACAAACAAATATTACGTTGCCCTGAGGCTAAATCAGCAGGGAGGAGCTCTCCTCTTCATTTTCTTGCCAAGAGTTTTATGTCTCTCTATCCTCACAGCATCTGCTGAGTTAATATGAAATAAAGTTGTATTATATTCCCACACTTTCAAGACACGGACTAGAAGAGCGGGTGTGCATTTCTTTTTTCAAGACTAGAACATCCTTCTACTGAATTCAGATTTGAACATTATACGTAAGGGATGATTAGTTTTTAAGATCACAATACAGTAGTTTATTAATGCATATGCATCAGTGTGAGGAGTGTGAAGTGGACTTTGATGAGAAACGAATAATTTTAAGCATACTTTCTCTGAATGTTGTGCCCTAAACCCCACCTGTAAAACTGTAAAACATGCCCCAGGGCAGATCTGGATGTTTAGCATCTGCCTTACACAAGACGGAAGAACAAGATAATCTCAGAACATGAGAGACCGGAAACACTGCACTCCATGACCCTCTGTGACACATGGCTGTTTCTACATGTCTCATTTTAACTGGGTGAAATAAACAGAATATAAATATGAAGTGATCAGTAAAGAACATGAAAATGTACAATATTTGTAGCAAAAATAAATCTTCCTTCGTGATGTTTTGCAAAACAGAAATATTCTTAGTCTTTACTCAGACACTTACACCACTGTCAGCATGGAGCTTCATAGGAAAGCTTGCAATAAAAAAGATATAATTGCCCTCTTATTAAAAAAGAAATTCCAATGAAATTGGGTGAGGAACTTAGCCTGGGTATAAGACAGTTTTTTTTCTTTGGACACAATCCATCTGCCCATTTTGATGATTTTACAGCATTTATTAGACTGACAAATGTAAATGAACCAACAAAAACAGGGAAGCTGCATGAGCTGCATGCAAATGTGGATTCAGTTTTAAATAAAATCAGAAAATAACTCATCAATAGTGAAAATAATTATTATAAATTATCATTATTTATGGAAAATAAAACCATGACATTGAAACAAGGTGATGGATTTTTTTTTTTCAATGAGGGTTCAGGGGTCTGCTCTTTTAATACATACTCAAGTACTTTGGAATTGCCAACCTCTGAATTGATGGGAGCTTATACTTATAACCTCTGGCATCTTCCCTGCTCACAATGAAAGACATTACATGGATGGAGAGCCTCAAAGATCTGCCAATTGACATTGCTTGGCGAGCTGGACCCAATCAAAATTAAAAAAAAAAAAAGTTTTGTTGCATGTAATTTAATCCTTGGACTCATCCATGTCAGTTTGAAGTGATGTGACATTAAGACAGAACAACAGAAGAAAACACACAAATCTAAAACCAAATGCTGTCCACATCCAATATGTGTATAAGAATGTGCATGTGGAAGAGGACAAGATATTCTGTGACTGATAGCTGGTTAAATTAGCCTGGGAGGGAAGTATTACTGCACCAGTGGGTTTCAATTGTCATTTCAGTCACTTTAATACTTTCAGGGCCTATGAAACTGAACTACATTTGCATGTGATGTAGGTCAGACATAAATAAGACATGGTAACCTGAGCCATCGAGTTGGAGGGGTGTACACCTGAGCCAAGCCTGTTTCTCAGGCAGGAAGCCCAGTATTAACTTATACACTCCCAAAATATTTAGATATAAAAACA